CCAGTTTTCCACGGGAAATGAAGAAAGGTTGCCCTCCCAGCTCTATTTCCCATAAAATGAATTAATCTTCAGAATTTGAACTCAATTTTGGCATGCTGCTTTTCCTCCCTCCAGAAGGTTACCTTTTTTCTCTCCTTTTCTTCCTCGTGGTAAAATGGAAAAAACAAAGGATAAAAATAATCTCTAAAATAAACTTTTTTTAGATGCTAAAAATCCAAACTATTTCATATAAAACAAAGCACTACTAGAGAAAAAATAGGCCATTTCTCAACAAGTGCCTTGACAGAAAACATTTGATGCAAACCATCCCTGGCTTTAGAAGAATTTTAGTGTCTCACAAGGAGTGTTAACCCTGATATCCTGCCAGATAGCAACTCAATTATGTCTAGCGCCTTTGAATTCCCCCTGGAGTGCCAAATGGATACACTGCTTTTCTTTGCTCCCTTTCCTCAGGTATTCCTAGAGTAGGGTTCTATTAAAAAGCTCTTTGCCCTCTCCTAGAACTAAATTCACACCATTGACAGGCTGAATCTTGCATATAGTTGATGTTTTGTTGACTGCTTTTGGAGTTTTCATGACAGAAATGAGTTGGGAATTATCAATTATGTGAAGGGGTCCTTGGGAGAATAGTCTTTAAAGCTAAACACACAAAGAAGTAGTTACCTGTGTTCCTTCAAAATCCAATGACACAAAGAGAAGGTGAAATCCACACAACAAAAAAAAAAATAAAAAATCACAAAATCCCTTTTCACAGGTACGGACTTTTTTGTACTCCACTCCTGAGCAAAGACTTTTAATGCTGTAAAAACATGGGGCAAAATCCTTGTCCCACTAAGCTTTTAGGTACACCTAGGCAAAGGCAACAGAGAAGGAGCCTTAAGAAAACTAGGAAATAGCAAGTGTTATATATATATACACATATCAAAAAAAAAATCACAAAATCCCTTTTCACAGGTATGGACTTTTTTGTACTCCACTCCTGAGCAAAGACTTTTAATGCTGTAAAAACATGGGGCAAAATCCTTGTCCCACTAAGCTTTTAGGTACACCTAGGCAAAGGCAACAGAGAAGGAGCCTTAAGAAAACTAGGAAATAGCAAGTGTTATATATATATACACATATATATATATGTGTTATATATATATATATATACTGTTAGTTATTGCTGAGAAATTTAGGAAATACCTGGGAAATCAGCAGAAATATAAAATCTATCAGCTTAGTTTTCAGGTTGCTTAAAACAGTCTCCCTTGCTTTTTACTAATTCCAGGCAGAAGCATTCCATTAATATGTAAAGTTTCCCAGTAACCTCACTGGGAGAAGGAGTGCTTTTTTTTTTTTTTTGAATAACATTGCAGTGGTTCTTGGCTTTGCTGGAGCGTAGCATTGCAAGGGTTTCAAGAGAAGGATCTCAGGGAGATGTGATAGGGCACACTGCAGGTTGCCTGTGCTTTTACAGCAGGAGAGAAGGCCAGAGTCAGTATACTGGAGCACAGCCCCAGGCTGACCTACCACCGCTGAATGCTGCAGAGCTGCTTCCATATCATCACAGGTTTTCAAGCTAGAAGTCTGGTGAATACCTAGGCAAATGCAGGCTGTCAGACCCAATTGCTTATGCCAACAGGCACTGGAAGGATCTGCACCATAACCTTTTTCCCAGTGCAGCGAGACAATCGGAGTCTTGGTGTTCAATGCAGCAACCGTATCCCCCTGGGACAGCGCTGTAAGAGGCACAGATCTCGGAGCTTAGAGGGCAGAGCTCAGCTACATCAATACAAAAGGTCCTTCTGCTATTACAGCTGCACCCACTCGAGCAACATCACTAGCCAACAAGTGAAGAAAAAGCATGCAATACCAGCATCAAAGCCGGGCATACAAGCATTATCCTTATGAACATATTTGATTACAAGAAAATTAGCATTTTACTTCAGTGGAAGGCTCATTCCAAATATTCAAAATTGACATGGAGAGGATAAAAGGCAGCACAGACTACTTCCAGTACCTGAAAATTTAAATCAATGCAGTAAAACATTTAAATGAAAGCATTTGCTATTTTTTTACTGGCCAAGAAATGCAACATCATATTATGAAGTTTTTACACTCAGAAGTGAAGAATCAGAGGTATTTCCCTTGGAAATTTCCATTTTAATTTTTAGAGTGCAGTGCATTGCACAAGGAGTTTGAAACAATTTTGACCAGATGTGGATTGAGATGAGAATCAGATGTTCCAAACCCTTACATGTAGGCACACACATTAGCATGCATCACCTTCCACTCCTCACTCCTTCCTGCTTAATTTATCCAGTCTTTATTAGGAAAGTAAGCATGGTCATGCTCTTGCCCACACTTAGGAAAGTCTTTCATCTTGTCTTGTTTTAAAAGCCTCCTTAAAACTAATTTGCTGCCATTTCCTGCCTCATCACACAGCTGTTCACTTGCCCCAGAGAGGTAAACAGTGTAAAAGACAAGGACTGTATATATTAGCCATGCTGTTAGTATGTTTAATGATGAAAACCCAGACCAGGCAACCTTCCTATCAAGTTTGCTCAGCTTCTCTAAACCCTTTTTTCTACACTAATCTTTCACTTTATCCACAAAAAAGCAAGCCATCATTGGCATTTTATACTTTTTTACTGCAGAAAACCAATTAGACTTTCTCTAGCTAGCAAACAAGACTCCCCAGCCTCCTTGTTTTCAGGATGATGTAGGAACAGGGAACCAAAATACGTCCTTACTTTTCCCTGGGACACACTTCTAATATTGGTGCATAAAGCTGGGCAGATAGAAGAAAGACCAAGTTATTTGTTGACAAGACAAGGGGCAGTTCAACGACTAACATAGTACCAGGAAACAAAGCGTTCCAGGTTTTGCTGGAGCTTTGGAAAGCCACTTATCCTCCCCCTCACCAGTGCCTGGACAACTCCCACAGAGATGCCGAGAAACTCAACTCACAGGGCAAAGGCATAAGCTGTTGAGGGCAGGGACTGTGTTGTGTTTTGTGTTACTAGCATTGTGGAGATGCCTAGATACCAAAGACAGAAGAATAACAATAAAGCCCGTTGTGTTTTATAGATAAAAGCAGTACTAGTCATGCTAAGGTAAACTGTCCTTACGTTACAGCCAAAAGCACCTTGTCTCTGGCAACAGCTTCTTCCTTTTGCTCCAAGCCTTCCACATAACATGAATATTCAGCAGCTGAATAGGGCTGGTGGATCAAAGACTGCCACTCCCATTTGTCTCCATCAGCAAGGCAAGCAACCTACCTTTGTCTCCCAATTTCCACAGAGCTGCTTTCCCAGCCATTTCTGCAGGGCTGACCCAGCCCAGGCACCTCTGGCAGAAGCCTAGCTGTTCAGTCTAACCTTGCTGCCTCATCTTCTCCTGAGTCTTCTTCAAACACTGTCACCATCATATTGGGACACAAATGGCCAAGGCAGATGTGCAGGGGGGGGTCAAACTGCTGCCTCCACTCCCCTGCAGATTCTGCAGCATGTTCAAGGTCCCTGTCACACTGTCACTACTTATAAAATCTTTAATAACAACAATCCTTAGAGCAAAAATCTTTCCTACAATTTATTCAGCAGCTCTACAAGTGCTGCCTGTCTTTCAGTTACCTAGAAATCTGGCCAGTCCATGTTCCACACCTGTGGGATTTCAGGAGCAGAGCCTGTCCCCTGCAACATTTCTTTATAGCTGCCCCAAAACTCTATTCTACCTGTGTCCAGCCACATCAGTCTACCACCATGTGGGGCTCAAATCTTGCCAGAGAATCGAAACCCAACTCTTTTTCACACCTGTACCCAGATTCCCAGGGGACAGGAGGACCCAGAAATCGCAGCCTTTGCCCAGCCACAGCAGATTTCAAAGCTGTCTGCCTGTCAGCACGATCCGGTGAGCAGAATGGAGACAGAAGCTCACTCATCACATTATGGTGCCTCTGGAGATGCAGAAAAGCCAGGCTGCTTCTGAGTCAGTCTTGTAGGCAAGCCCCCTCAAAGACCTCAGGGCTGCAAACTCTTTTTTCTCCATAGGCTATGGCTTTAACAAACAGCTCTCTTCAGCCCTTCTGCCTTCACTCTCCCCTTCCTTTAAGGTCTCGTTTCCCCTTCTCTGCTCCTCTCCTGTTCAACACTCAACTCTACCTCTTTTCTTTCCCTTCTTTCAGCAGCCTTCTTCCCATTTCTTGCCTTCCCGTTATCTCCCTTTTCCCATTCTTTCCCCCCCAACTCCTCCCTCTTGCACTTCAACACATCTGTTTCTAATCTTAGGCATCAATTGGAAACAATAATGCCTTTTTATTTTAAAATCTGAATGTTAAATGCCTAAGCAAATCAAAACAGAGTTAAACAAATTTGACACTGTGCACGAAACAAAGACATTTTGTTCACCTTGTTTTGCCAGAGGTTCAAGCCCTTCACTAGTTCATTGCTTAAAAGCACTGCCCTCTTTAAACAAGAAACATATATTCCAGAAGGAGTCTGTTTAATCACCACTTCTAAAAAATGAATCCAGATATTAAAAGATCTCTGGCTATCAATCTGCTAATAAATAAAGCAACAAGAAAAGCATCAGAACCCAAACAGTATTGAAATTGGAGTTTTCCATAAAAGTTTTTTTTCTTTACAAATCCCTTTGTCTAGCTCATCAGAAATGAATTTCAGTCACGCAGAGAGGGCACATGGAAGTTTGATTAAAAACACTAAGCAAAACCAAAAAGCCAACCTACCTAAAAAGAGAAGTGAAAGTGCAGACATTCCGTCTCCAAGCAAGAGGGACTTTTCCTCCCTTTTTCTTCCTTTCTCCCAGGAACAGCAGGCAGACCTGCACAGGATTCAGAGGAACGCCTCTGGAATGCACAGAGTGTAATTGCATCCATGTGCCAGAAAAATAACCAACTTCACTCTTTCTTCCCTTCTGCTATTCATCTCCTTGTTCATATTCCATCCAGATTCAGCGAGAGCTTTTAGGTCTCTGCAGCTGGTAATTCAGGCCCTTGAGTTTCTGGAAGAGACAGAGGCAGCGCAGCAAGGAGTTCACATCTACGGCAGCATAGAACAATTTTGCTTGTCTGAAAAGAAAAGGAGAGAAGCGGGGGAAAACACTGCACTCAATGTTCACCACATGGCTGCCTCCCAGAAGAGCCCCTCCCTACCATCAGCTGGGATTAATAGTGAAGACCAGTCATGTGGGTGAGGTAGAGCTAATTTCTAGAAATTATATATATATATATTTACCTTTGCAAGAGAAACAAGAGGATTTCTCTAGTGTCAAAACAGTTAAGTTTGGAGGCAGTAAAAATCCAGCATGGCAAAAAATCAGATTCATCACTCAAGGGCTAGAGAGAGACTCTCAGAAAAAAGCACACAAGCTCTTCAGAACAATAAACACACTCACATGTATACATTATCTTTATTCTCTTCTGTAGCTAGTAAATTGCAGAATTAGAGCTTTTAGTCTTACTGGAAGACTTTCTCCATTTGCTTCATGGCTTTCTTTTTGAGTTTCTAGGAGAGAAAAAATTCCTAAAAATTGATTTATGCATTTTATCTGTGCTTCACTCGACAAGATAAAAAGCCCAGTCATGCAGGCATTGGTTATCTACATTTAGTGACTGCTGTGGGATGCAACTTATAACTTACTTCCATGGGCCATTTTAAGCCACCCAGAGACCTTTACAGCCCATCTCCAGCGTCAGCCAAGGGCAGTTAGCAAGTTTTAAAAACTAACTCAGGTACTCCATTCCATTTCTGCTCTCACAGCAGTGAAGACAAACCTCTCAGTTTCTGTAAGAAGGATCAAATGTGGTAGTGAGTTGAGTTCACAGAAGATGGCTTTGACCACCTGAGCTGAGCCAGCTAGAACAGAACTCTTTTATCCTTTAGTAAAATATGCACAAATTTTGCTACTCACAGCACAGCCATGGAAACAGTGACATTTTACACGTGTGCATATACACAAGTGTTCTGATCTATCACACCTTACACACATACAGGTCATGCCTGCCACCTGTACATCCATATGCTCTAGGATACATCTGCTTTTCAGAACAGCAAAGCACTTTCATCTAGCCTACTTGTGTATTAACAGAATCATAGAATCACAGAAATTTTTAGGTTGGAAAAGACCTTTAAGATCATCAAGTCCAACCAGTCAAGTTACCAGAAGAGTAACACTGGCTACCTGAAACTCTACAGTGGCCATAGAACCATTCAAGAAGCTGAGAAGTATTTGGGTGGCTACCCCATGCCAATCTGGGTGTTGCCACAGCTGTGCAGATACCAGGACCCCAGCTAGTTAGTTTAAATCTGCTAAGTGCATCTACATAAACAGCAACTGCATGTTCTTCCTAAGTCATACTCACAAATAAGCATCCATCATACACAGCTGGTTGCAAATCAAACAATTTTATCCATCTGTGCAACTTGGGCCCAAAGGAAAGCTTTGGCAGAACAAAAATCCTTTCCCTTAGGAAGACTTACAAAAGTATTTCTAAGACCTAAGAAAAGGAGCAGGCCACATGCAAGGCTGCCAGCCTGTGGTTTGAGACCTCAGACTTCAGTTTCGAGCGCTCTCATTAGCTCCCTGTGTAACCTCACCTACACATAGTTTCTATAACCCCCCCTTGTAAAGTCAGGGATAGTATGCTGCTCTCCTTCAGGGATGAAAATAAATAGAGCAATCTTTGTGAAGCCCCCAATGAGGGGCACTATGCTTAAAAGCTCTACAGGAATTCAGTACCTTAGCTCTTCCTTACAGTACAAGCTTTTCAAGCATTTACTAGAAGACAAAAACACTGCTACCCTGGGCAAAATGAGACCCAGATTCAGATAGGTCCCATCAGAGAGAAGTAACATGGATAAAAATTATCCTTCTGCATCCCATTTCATTAAAGTTTTATTTGCCCCTCCCAGCCTCAGATGGAAACAAAAGCATAATTTGGCTCCTCCTCTCCAAAACAGCTGTTCTCTCTATAACAAAGTGTTTTAAACAGCATATTCAGCGAATATAGACTGATGATACAAACCCAACCATTATCAGGTGCATTTAACAGTTTCTACAGAGCAGCTGTATCTATCCTATCTACCCATACCATAAGAGCTGATTCCTCCAGAACTTTTCCCCACACACTTAACCAAACAGGCTGCCAGTTTTCAAACAGCTGAGCAGATCTGAGCAAACATCATTGATTTTCAGTGCAGGACATAAATCAATGGAGAAAAGTGCATTTAATCCCTTCCCCCGCTCTCCAGAAGCCAAGCAGCACTGAGCTTGTCTCTCTGCATTACCAGTCTGACAGAAGATGTCCCAAGCTACGCTGTAAATACCCGGCCCGCTGCTTTGCTTTAATAGAATCAATGCATCAGAAACCAAGACAGAGAGAAGTGTCATCACCCCGCACTCATTGCCCAGCCTCCACCTAAATCCACAGAGCTGGGATGTTTGAGGGATGCATGCAGAGGAGGCAGCCGTGCATGCAAAAATCTCCTCCATGGTCTCAGACAAGCCATTCCCCAGCCTGTTCTCACATTGCATTCAGCCCCATCAGGAAGCTCCTCAAGAGCAAGTTATGCTTTAGGGTTCAGCTAGGATTCTCCCTCTGGTGTTCATACCTATTATGGCATGGGCATCTCACTTGTTTGCATAACAGTTTCAGGGAGAGCCTAGTAAGGACATATAAGGACACCCACACCACTCACACCAGCTCATCCTCAAGACCTCTGCTGGTTGTGTTTAGGGGAATAGGTCCTATCTGCAGCACATTGTTTCCAGAAGGGATAAATTCTTCTAGTAAGCTTGTGAGTGCTTTCACCTGTTACTACGCAGTGCTAGCACAGCATGGGAGATAGGCATCATGCACTTCTCAGCAGGGAGAATAGCAAAATAGAGAAACTGATGTTCGGTATCATAAACATTAAGAAAAAAGGCTTTAAAAAACCCTTTTATAAACCGAGTCAGGTTTCCAGGGTTCCTGTGCTGCGGTTGAGAGGCCCCAACTTTTAAGTCTGAGGTAGGCTCAGGTTAAAATAGCTGCATGCAAACATCTCACTGGCCATAGATAAGCTTTTTGGTGGTCTTCTCTGGTGCAGTCTCCATTTCAGCCCCTTTCACATTTTCATGAGTATCCTCTTTCAGCAAAACATGGCCTCTCAAACCTGTATGCCCCAAGAGCCCACCCAGCAGTTGATAGCTTGTTCCTACACCTCAATTGGTAGAAGCATGTGGGGGGACCCTTTCTCGAAACCCTACTAACTTTTTTTTTTTATCAGGTTATGTCTTCTGCCTTGTTCTTCCCACTCCTTGAGGTGTAGCTGCCCCCCATTACTGCAGAGCTGCACACCACCTTCTGAACGCTAAACGGTGCTGCCTGTGCCCAGCAACAGCAACTCTACACCCCCATCATCCAAAATGTACTTAGAAATCATATTTTCTTCCCGAAATGTTATTACATAGCAGTAACACAGACTACTGCTACTCAGCTACCCTCTTGTGTTGATCCTTTATTGAGTCTGTTCTCCGAGACTCCCAATACAAACTTACCTCAGACAGTTTAAGTTCTTTAAGCATCTTACTGATACAGCCAGTAGAAGAACAGGTTCACCTACCAGGAGAACCAGATGAGCACTTTGAGTCTCCCAAGCAAAATCATTTTCTGGGCAGCTTTTGGCTTTGCAGCTGAAGGAAGCACAAAAAAATACCCTGACAAAGAAAAAGCAAACCCCACAAACATACCAGTCTCTGAACAGGGAAATTAAAAACAGACAACAAGGAATATTAGAATAGAAAATAAAACCCTTCACACAAATTTCCCAATAAGCCACCGGCAGAAAGATTGCCTTATAGCACACCAGGCCTCAAATATTGACTTATAAACCAGTTGTTGTTTAAGAAGCTCTCTTTTCTCAAGTAGGCTTCAATAATTGAACACAAAAGCACTATTAGTCATTTAGTATTAGCAAAAAATCTCACTTCAACAAGCCTTAGCACTCACAGTGTCAGTAAGTGTATCTCTGAGGAAAAAAAAAAGCCAACTAACAAGCTCTTAAAGCTCTAGCTAGTTTGAAGTGCCTCAGTCCACACAGCTTGTTACTACAAAATTTATTTCTGTTTGCTCTATAGAAATGCACCCTTACTACTTTTTTAGATAGTCTTATTGTCTATATACGCCTGTAACTATACTCTGCATTTATACTCCAAAGAATAAAAAAATTAAAGAGCTCTTCATGCGCAGAAACAGCTTTTTTACTCTTTATTAACTTTATGTTGTTGCTACAATAGCCAAGAACTGAGCATAACATAAACTATTTACATTGTACTATTGATTTTATACTGGAAGCTATAGTAGAAGGCAGACCAGGTCAAAACTTACAAGGCTTCATTTCAATATTTTTATACTACAAGATTTCTGTTTTCAAACAAAACCCAAACAGAACTTTCCTGAGAAGAAAAAGGTACCCTCAACACAAACTTTATCAACTAGTCTAATAAACCCCAGAAACTCCATAAGCAAATAACAACCTCTCCTGACCTTCAGAGTCCCATCCCTTTCCAACAGAAAAACAAACCAACCAAATCCCCCCAGTGTTGGGTTTTATTCTGTTTCCTCTGAAAAACCTGCCCATGAAACACCGTGCTTTAATTTCCCAGCTGTGAGATTAGAAAATTGGCGAGCAAAGCTTATCTACGAATCACAGGTGTGAAGCATAGGAGATTACATGGGGAGGGTCAGAACACAGGTGTGGAGCATATGAGATAAACCAGGGAGGGCCAGAACACAAGTTAAAAAGCAGGAGAGGAGGGTGGTTGGTTTCTCTGGTGGAGGGGTTATGGTGAAAATAGCCTCATGGCTTGTAAGTTTGAATGGTGTTTAATTT